ACCTTGCTTTCAACTGCAGTTACAGCTCCTTGAGCATTTATAATACACTTTTTAATGGAAAGAATTTCAGGCTCTTCTATAAAATTGAATTCAATGTCAAGTCTGAGGGAGAAGAAGGGGTCTTTCAAGCAGTTTTTTACCCAGAAAGCATGTTACAGATTCTAAAAATAGGCTGTGCATACATTAATGGCTATATTATGAGGTAGCCAAAACTCAATGACTGCTGAGCACTTTTTTAACTCCCATTGGCTCCAGGAGGGCTCAGTACTTCACAGAATCAGCCTGAGGGAGAGAGGAGGAGAACAAAGTGAGAATACACAGTCCCAGCAGTGCTCTGGCTGTGCATGCAAACCTTTTGCAGTCAAAATGCCCCACAGGAGCATGAAAGGATGTTTCAGTCTGTAGCTCATTTAATCAAGGGCTCCCCCTCACCAGAGGTGTTCAGAGGGAGCGATCTTGTCGTATGAACTAAGGACTAAAACAGGAGAGGCTGCTTTGACTTTGGATTGTACATTGAAAAACCCTTTTAACAGAATAGTGCACATCGTGAGAGAACGTAAAAAACCCCATGCCTTCCCCATGCAGTTTGCATGTATTACAGAGGAGAGGGCTGCCTTCTAAAGCTCACTATTTCTTTCCACTGCTTGACTAAGTGTATAAAGTTTCAATCCCTCTTGCTTTAGAAATTATTTTGTTGAGCAATAGGTGAACATTTTAGTTATTCAAACACCACACTGGCAACAGAGCTGAATGAGCTGATTGAGCTTCTTTGCAAAGACTCTGGTTTACAAATCTGCTAGCTAAGGCTATAAACGTGACCCTGTTCTTCACTGTAGCATCCAGGCCATCCATGTTCTCCATGCAGGAATGATTTTAAAAAGTCATCAGGCAAGAGCTGACTGATGACTCCAGATTTGAGAGCTGTGATGGCCTTTTGACTTAAGTGACTTGGGGTATTGAGTTGTAAGCAGCAATGAAGTTGTAAGGAGCAATCATTAATGGAACCAGGCACCTTGGATGCAGTTTTTGCTTATTTACAAGAGTGTAGAAAGTCAGCTTCCTTCAGAAAAGGAAACCTTGAACAACAAGAGAACTTCTTAGCCCATGGCAGGCATTGTCCCCCTCCTGCCCCTCTTGGGCTCCAGGGTGATGCACCAAAGCTATTCAGACTGGTTTCTAAGATCAGCATTTTCCAAAACCTGAGTTTTGCTGGCAGTATCAGCTAAGGGAAATATCTCTCCTCTCTGCCCCTCTCTGGTTATTCCTGCTCTGTACGTCAGTGCTGTGGTTTTAACCCAGATCTCCTGGCAGGGCTAATCACTATGGTGTAGAAAACAGCTCTGACAGTGCTGCCAAAGCCAGGCTGCCTTCAGATTACAGCCTGCCTCTGTCCTTGAGTTCCAACTTGGCTCCTCCATGACAGTCATCACCTTCAGGTGTTCTTGCTGCAGAGAGACTCACCTCTGTTTCAGCTGGAGATGTATTTTGGCTGGTCAGTGGCTGCTGATGCTTCAATAATCCATTTCCGTCAAAGAGGTTAATCTCTAAACTGAAGTGGTGAAACCTGCCAACTTCACTGGCCGTGCTCACAAAAGATATGGTTCATTTTTTCCTTAAGATGGAAACTCCTTGTTACTTAATATGAAGCCAATTTCCAAAAATTACAACTTTAATTATGGCTACAGTACAAACGTACAAAAGCCTCTTCCTCCCCTGCAAAGTACATAGTTCATAATTGTGGAACTATCTGTCCTTCCTGCACATCCATTTTACATTCCATGAAGCAGATAATTTGTGAATTCCACCATTCTCCTCAGCACACCATTAGTCTAATGCAAACATTTCTTTTCTGTGTGTGAGCATTTTCCAGCTTTTCTGGAGCCACACAGTAACCCAACTTCCACGATTAACAGTTGTGCCCAGATTTAATGTTTGGTTGGCATTACACTGCTGTAATAGGGACACTCATGAGGAGGAGAGGACATACATATGAGGAGGAGAGAGGACAGACACATGCATGTCCTGCAGCCTGAGCTGAGAATGAGATTAAATTGTGGTGGGCTACCAATTTGTCCACAGGCAATGGGTGCCAGAAGTGCTCATTGGCAGGATATAAAGCTGTGCACAGTTCTACTTTTCACTCCAAAAAGGGGATGTTGTATTTCTGGACTTACTGGATTAAAATTTTTCTGAAACAGGATCGTACTCATGGGGGAACAACAAACTGATCCTGTATGTGCAGCATTAGGCATAGGAGTACTATCACCCTTCATACTTGTAAAATTCAGCGGGATATGGCATCAGGATATGCCAGTTTCAAGCCCTTTAGATACAGAATTTTCAGCATAGGCTCATCTTCTGTAAGCAGGCAGTGACAGGCACACAGGGGTTTGCGTTATTTGAATATTTTAATTAAGCTGGAAGCATGGCACCAGTCAGGCTGAGAAATAGAACCAAACATTCAATGCTTGAACCTACAGGATGCTACGTGCCAACCCTAGCCCAGCAGAAGATGAGAACCCCCATCCAAGACCTTGCAGAATCCACTGAAGTCAGAACTCCTACAAGGTGCTGAGGGTCTCAGAGGTCTGTTGAGTTACACACAGGGTGTGGGCAGGCCAACAATGGCAAAAATCATTCTATTGCAAAGGCAGAAAATACCGGTCAGAATGAGCAGAAGTTAAATGCTTTCCCTGCTTAAACAGAAGCAATGCAAGGCTGACATCTTTAAAAAAAGGGGAGTTACTCTCATGGTTCTCTTCCTAGAAGTTTCACTTCCTTAGGATATGTGGTTATTTTGGTTTAGCACAGCAACTGCCAGAAGAGAAGGCATTTTATTTTCTTGTTTTGTTTTTATACAGAAGAACAGGGAAGACCACCATGTCCTGGAACAAGAGGAGGGATTGCAAAAGCCTGCCCTGAACAAAAGGAGCTGTGTGGAGATCTTCCTGCAGTACAGAGGTTCACAATAATTCCTTTCCTGTGAAGCCACACTGAACATTCTGAACAACTAATATGGGATACTCGGGAGATGTCTAGTCCGACAGTGATGTGAAAACCCTTTTTGTGGTGATCCAAGGTGAAGTGAGTGGGCCTCTGCCACATACTTTGCTCTGGTCAGGACTATACAGGTCTCTATGGGAAGTGCCTGCTTTCAGGTTGTTTGCTTTGTTTAGTTTTGTATCGCAGCTACGGCCTAGCACTGTTCTCAAGGAAGCCGGTTTGGTGGGAATAGGATCTGCTATGACATCTTGAGTATTGCCTGCCTGTTTCCAAAAATACAGATTTCTCTAAAGAAATGGCTGCAAGTGCTGTATAGTCAAAGCTGCAGCAAACAGGCACGCACCTTTATGTTTGGAGAGATGGGACTCAGTTTGCATTCTTTATATATGACTGTGCTTCAGAACAAACCAAAACCAGTTTTGTTCTATAGAAGCTAAACAGATAAAATATACAATTGCGACATCATTGCATTTGTAGGAGTTGGTTTAATATAGAGGCATCTGGCACCTGAATTATGTAGGCAGCTATTTACAACATTATCTATTGAAAAGAGTATGACTTACTTATTTAATTATATATTTTACAGAAAACTATTAAGTAACTTTCACCTCTGTGCCATTCCATCGTGCTTATTTGTGCTATCCCAAGGTGATACAGCTGCAATGCTCTCCAAACACTGCTTTTTGGCTGATACCTGTAACAGTAGTCTTGTCTGTGGGTTCTGATGATTTTTCTGAGCAGTTAAACTACACCTGAATTGTTACCGTGTGAATTCCTGGCTTCCTGAACCACAGCAAAAAATGGCTTAAATTTTATAATACATAGTGTGAGTGTAGTGACCTCTGACCTCCCTAGATCATACAAACAGGAAAGGTCTCTCCTGCTCCAGGCCATGAAATGACTCAGGGAAGTCATCCACTTCCTCCCTTGGCTCTGCCAAAGCCTGGTGCCTGAGGCCACTGCCTTCAAGCAGAATCCCCTCCTGGATGATGCATCCCACATCACTGTGCTGTCATTTGCTTCACCTTCAGTATGTATATCTTAACCCCACAGCTTCAAGGCATTTGCAGGCATCCAGGCATCTCCCACAGATTTTGTCGCTTTACAGTGCATCTCCGTTTTTGCCAGATGCCTACTGCTGGCTGCTGCAGCCCCTGCCGGCATTCCCTGTGCCCCACTCTCTGGGCGTTAAGGCAGGGCATGCCATGGGGTCCCCGTGGGAAGGAAGGACTGTATTTGTAGGCGCAGGCCTCCCCACCTCCCTCCCGAATGCAATGCTGCTGGAGGTTCCCTTAGGGATGGCGTCCCGCCAGGCTATTAAAAGGCTAAAGCAGTCCCAGGCACCAGCCCCATACTCCCTTTCTCCTGCTTTTCCCCTCTATACGGGCTCCCCTCTTCCCGGAGGTGCAGTCACGGCTGCCGGGGTCTCCGTCGAGATTTCCCAATTGACCAGGACGCTGGTCAATCCTGTGCGCCGCTAGCGGCTGACAGCCTGACAATCCCCCTCTTCCTCCTTCAGCTGGCCGGGATGGAGGTTTAAAGAAAAAAAAGTAAAAAACAGAAAAGAAAACTTCTGGGGTCATTGGGAGGGGAAAAAAATTCCTCGTCACGTCTGTTACGTCTGCGAAACCGTCCCGAGAAGGAAGAGGAGGATCCCGCCCCGCGGGGACCGCAGCGTTTGGCGGAGGGGGTGAGCGCTGGCTGCGAGGCCGGGGTTGGGGGAGCCCCCCCCACCGTGGACGGGAGGGGCTCTGTCTTCCTGCGGCGCCGAGGAAGAAGGGGCCGAGCCACCCTGCTCCCCGCCCCAGGAGGGGGTGAGAGCCGCCCTGCTCAGTGCTGGGGGCTCGGCGGGGCAGAGGCTGAGGTGCTCGGGCCGTCCCCTCGCCGCCGTCCGCCGTCTATGAGGCACTAGCGAGCCTTCCCTCCAGCGCCGGGAGGCGGCACAGCCCCGGCGGGCAGAGCCGGACCGGGCCGGGGGGGCCGTGGGGCGGGTGGCACCCCCCTTCTCTCTTCCTCCTCCTCCTCTTCCTCCTCCTTCTCCTCCTCCTCTTAACTTGGCCAGGGCGGCGCGGGGCGGTGCGCTTCGCCCTGCGCCGGCGACGGGGGATGTGCGGGCGGCGGCGGGATGGCTTCGGCCGTGTTTGAGGGCACCTCGCTGGTGAACATGTACGTGCGGGGCTGCTGGGTGAACGGGATCCGGCGGCTCATCATCAGCCGGCGGGGCGACGAGGAGGAGTTCTACGAGATCCGCACCGAGTGGTCGGACCGCAACATCCTCTACCTGCACCGCAGCTACTCTGACCTCGGCCGCCTCTTTAAGCGGCTCCTCGACTCCTTCCCTGAGGACCGGCCCGAGCTGTCCCGCTCCCCTTTGCTCCAAGGTTTGAGCAGCTTTCTCGGGCATGGCTCTCGCTGCTCGGCGGGAGGGCGGACGTGTTCCCCGGGGGTGGCGGTGGCCGGGGAGGACGGTCGGGCGAGCGGGTCCCTCTGGACGGAGGGAAGGGGGGTGAGGAGCTGGAGCCGCTGCGGGCCCGGACGGGGTGGGGGGCAGAAAAGCTACGGAGGCGTTTTGCGGTCGGAAACTCCGCCCGGGATGTTGAGATGTTGATTTGTGTTTCCTTTTTTTTTTTTTTTTTTTTAATATACGGGCTACCCCGCAGCCGGGGGGTCCAGCTGGAGGAAGACCCCAGTCTCTGTCTCCCGCTGCGCGGCTCCAGGCTTTGCTGGGCTGTGGGAGCAAAGGGGTCCCCGTTCGCGCTGCCCCTCTCCGGTGCCTCCGGTCTCCCCGAGGAAGGGCTGGGGGGTGGCTGGCGGGAGAAGGGGCGTAGCTGAAAAATCTCTATCTTGGTATGTTGTTTGCCACAAGGAGAGAGCAAAAAAAAAAAAGAGGCTGCGACGCTTGCCAGTGGACGGAGCGAGTCTGGGAGCTGGCATAATTCCTCGCATAACTTCTGCAAAATGGGAATTGCACCAGCGGTTAGAGAGTGTTCCTTCCAGTTTCTGAAGTGGATTAACCCAAGTCGGGGGATGTTGCCCATGCTCAGGTCTCTCTGTGCAGAAGCAGGATGTACCCGTTAAGCTGTCTTGGGGCTTGGTTTTATTTTGTTTAACGATTGAGGTATTTTTTAGATAGAGCTACGCGTTTTGCTCTAACATATTTCAAGTGTGTAGAGTGGTGCGGAGCATCCGGTCATCTAAAAATGGATGTATGCGTAGCACTTCCAGTCTCCCCAGTTGTTGAGCTACCACGTAGATGATTTGATTGAACAGGAACGGGGAGGAGCCGATAATCTGTGCATGTTTTCCTCTGTGAGAGGATGGGGAAATTTTCCCTAGCTCTCACTTCGCCTCTCGCCTTGCTAGTGTGACCCCCTTGCAGAGGGTCTGCGGTTTCCCATTCTCGGGGCTGGGTCTCCACCGCTCATACTGGACTTAATTTCTTTGCCCTCCCTGTGCGACAGCGGGCCCTGCTCCCTGCGAGTGGGGATTGTCTCTCCCGGACCGACTCCCCAAGGATGTTTTCTGACGGGTGTTTAAAGTGAGACAGTTCTTTTTCCGTTGTCTTGCCAGATCACTAACCCCTGGTGGTGGAGTAGGGTGGGGTTTTTTATGTGCCTCACATAAAAGTGCTTGTACCTTTACCTCTCCTTAACTTCTTTCGATCTCGGGAGCCGCAGCCCGCTTCCCGGCGTGTGTTCCCCGGCGCTGGGCTTTCCCGTTCCCGCTGCCGGGAGGTGGCAGCTCGGCCCCGCCGGCCCCGGGAGCTCCGCCGCCACTCGCAGCCCCTGAGTGCCCTCTGCAGACGGCGGGAACGGGCGCAAGGCAGCCGGGGAGCTGCAAGCCCCGCATCCCCTTGCTGCCCACTCTGGCGTGCGGGGTGGGAAGTCCTTGCGGGGGCTGGGTGCCAGAGGAGGGCTGTCTGCCCCCGCTTGGGTGCAGGCTGGGAATAGGGGGTCCTGCGGGTCCCAGACCTCCACCTCTCAGCTCTGATGTGTGCCTGGCACATACAGTGTCTTATGCTATTAGGTTGCTGACCACAGATCTAAAGTATTGTGAAAACTTACTACTCTTTTTGTGTGCCCTACATAAAGTACTCAGAATGTGATTTTTAGTAGCGCTGAATGTCTGTAAATTCTAAGTAACACGGCCTTCAAGTGTATATGGCACCTGGGCCCTGGCTTTTGAGAATGCTGGGTAGGTCTGGAGCAAGCCTGCCTATGGCCTGCAGGGCACAGCACCTGCCAGGGTCACTGTGGCTAATATTGGGCCTCCCAGTGTGCCAGTAGTCCTTCTTGTTGGCTTTATGGGGCTCTGAAGAGCAGCTTGGCAGCTGGGCTGTGGTGTGTGCTGGGTCTGGCCGCAAATCCTTGCTGGCCCTGGCCTCCTGCCCCTCCCATTGTGCACAGGAGCCACTTCTTGTCCTAGAGCCATTTTCATTCTTCAGTGCCTCTCTCAAGTGAGCGTGGTTTCTCTCATGTCTCAAGGCCTGCTGCAGCTTTTGCAAAATATTAAAACTATTTTCACATCTCTCTGCGGCATTATTTGTGCAGTTCGAGCCAGATGGGATTACAGTCCCTTGCACTGGCTTTACTTGACAGTCCCAGGTAGCATACACCATGAGTGCATGAACAGCTGGGAAAGATTAACCATCCTCAGACTGCATTGCTCAATCCCTCCCTGAGACCTAGAGCCAGCAACCCTGACTTACCTTTCTCTCAGGAAGAGACATACTGACTTCAGTAGAATTGGGAATGAGCAAAGCATCAGCCCAGGATTTGAAAAATCAAAACCCAATATAAACAAATGATCTATTCAGCTTGTTGAGGGGGTGGGGGTTAACTTTGCAACAGAGATAGAATAAAAATCAGGAGTAGTTTCCAAGCAGTCACAGCATGCGTCACAATTTCAGTAATACTCTGTTTAAAATTATGCTCCTCCTGCTCTAACAAAAATTATTTTGCAGAGTGTGCTTCTCTGCCTAGAGAACACTTTGTCATACCAACATTTTAAATTGACTGGCCACAGCCTTGTATAACTTGACAAAGTTGAAACATAAAAATCTCATTTAACTAAGTGACACTGATGCAAAGCTTTGGAGGTAAGAAGAGATTGCATGGAGCATGTCCGATCTTTACAAAATTCGTGGGGTAAGCATAGTTTCTTAATGTCCTGTTTAAAAGCAGACGTCCTTCTGCCTACAGTGAATCTCAGTACACTTAATGCAACAAAAACACCTGACAAAAGCCCACTCTTGTGTGTATTAGCATTTAGTCTTATACATTTGTGTGTATTTTTGTATACATACAAATATATATGCATATGTATGTGAGTTTGTATATGTGTGTGTATTTATCTTGGGCTTTCTGAAAGAAGGTGAATATCAGCTGTGCCTTTTATCTGGAGGAAGGAAGTGGTGAAGTGTTGCAAACCAAATTTGCATTGCATTGAAGGACTCCACAGTCCCTACAGATTTGCCTAAGGAGCATTAAAAGGACTAGCATTATCCTACAGCTCAGTGAAGCTGCAGTATGTTACATTTAAGGGATATGGTTGAGGAGTGAAAGCTTGAGCTATTTGATGTTATTAACTCTTTAAGAGGTTTTTTTTTAAAAAAAAGTCAGCAATATTATAAAGAGTTGGTTGTTACCTTTATTGCTAGCTTCAGCAAACAGCTCATACTGAGCAGGAGTGTGCTCCTTTTCTTGCTCAGCAACAGCAAACCATCCTCTCCATTCCTTTCTTCACCCCTCATCCTTTTGGACTGATTTCCACAACGCTCTCCCCCTCTGTACTCCTTGGAGCTGCTGAGTCTTTTGAAATTGCCGAGGAGAGGATGGGAGGTATAGTTTTCTGCAGTGGCAGTTCATCTTACCCTTTCTTTGATATGAGAAGAGGGGTGGTCCCAGCGGGGAGTCTGGCATTCACACAATCTGGTCTTGTCTTTGATAACTAATAAGAGCACGTGGCAAAGTGCACTTTCTGCATCTGGAGTGTACTATGATGCTAAAGGCCAAGGACATTCAAAAACACAAGGCATCTCACTAGTAAGCTGGCAAACAAGGTTATTTATGTGCATACCTGCAGGGTGACTAAATATGATTCACTATGATGTTACCTATAACTTGCTAGTACTTTATTCGTCTTTGAAATATGCCTGTCCCTTGCTCTAGGCAAATGTAGAAAAGAGGATCACAGAAAAACACAGGCTAGTTCACTCTTGCAGTAAACACAGCCTAATGTTACTAAACTGTTTCTATATGCAAAGTAAACAACTTTTGTATTTAAATCAGTTTGTATGAGAAAGGCAGAGCTATGGACTTAGAAGCTGACTTAAAATTGATGATTTAGAAATAGTTACAACAGACCCAATAGAAACCAAAAGTGAGGTCTAAACCTGAAAAAGTACTCTTCCCCCCCCCATTTTCTGTAAATACTGCTTGTGAGGGGTTCTCATCTACGATGATCCAGCTTCAGTGCAGTCAGGCACCTCTCTCGCCTTGACTTCAGTGTGGGCAGAATCAACCCTTAAGTGCAGAACCAGAAGGCAAAAGAGCACGTTACCAGCCTGTCAAAGTTGGGATTTTTTTTGCCCATGGAGTGGCAGAGTGGTTTCTGACAATCCTCCTCTGAACTTGTTTGTTGCCCTTGTCATCAGAACAGAGGCTCAGATGCTCTTTCAATGTCACTGGTTGTATTGCACCTATGTGTAGCACCTGGTCCTGCTCTGATACTCTGAGCTGCCAAATCAAAAACTCTCTGACAGGTTTATTTTAATACTAGACGGGCCTCTCTTCCCAAAGTGCTCATTTTACTCCTTTCCATGCCTCCTCTGACTCGTTCTGCTCTGTTGTGGCCTTTTTTCCCCTTGCTCTCCTTTCTATTATTTCCTCTCTGCTCCTCCAAGTTGCTTTCCCTGAGCTGCTTTCTGTTCCTTTTCTTTGCCTCCAGGTTGTCCTCACTGGCGTGCTGCCATCCATAGTTATCTGTGGCTCTCCAGAACTTTTCTGTTGCCTTCTGCCTTGCTGGTGCTCGACTTTTGTCCATCCATAGAAGCTTTCCGGTAATGGTAGAGATTTCCTATAGAAACTTTACACCTTTAACTTGCCCCATAGCATAGAGGTAGTCACTTAACCTGCAGCAGACCCTGAGCAGTCCCTCACAGATGACTAGTGCTGATCTCTGAGCCTTGTGCCTGCCTCTGGTGTGGTTGCCTCATGTGGGAAGCAGATGATCAGCTGTTTTCTGTGTCCTGTCCGAGTGGCTGTGCACCAGGAAGCACATGGTGAGCTCCTGCAGGGCTGCTGCTGGACGTGCACAAAGCAGAAGGCAGCTCCTGAAGAGCCAGCCCAGGAACATTGTATTTGCTTGCAAATGTTGCATA